GAGTTGTTCGAGTTTTTTGAGGAGAAAGACAGATTTACTCATGATGACATTGAATTTGGCCAGGAAAGAGTAAGAGGAGCAATTAATACCCTATCATTCATTGAATCACATCCATCCTTTAGAAACCAGGCATCACCAGATTTACATCAATCTGTGGAAATTCTTCTGGATCATTTTAGTTATGTAAGAAAAATTATCCAAGACATTCAATCTCCTCAATGCAGTGTCCCAGCTATTGTGAATGGTGCAGGGGAGGTCTTGCATACAGGACATGTAGGCAGACCTACAGCATTTATAAATGTAGAGCAAGTGATTTATTTATTGAACCATGGGTTTAAATATACGGAAGTCGCCAGGATCTTTCTAATTCATAGAACCACATTGTGGAGGAGATTGAAAAATGAAGTGGATTTTCAAAGATACACAGAAATTGGGGATGAAGAATTGTCAACAATAATAAAGAACATAAAAGACCAGCATCCTCATAGTGGGGTTTCTTTAGTGATTGGACATTTACGGTCAAATGGCATAACTGTACAACACAGAAGGGTTCGAAGAGTTTTGAGAGCACTTGATCCTGTTAATTCAGCATTACGGTGGGGTCTGATGACCTATAGGAGGGCATACAGTGTTCCTGGACCAAATGCACTATGGCATATCGATGGGCACCACAAACTCATAAGGTGGAAAATGGTTACCCATGGTGGTATAGATGGATTTAGTCGACTTATTGTTTATTTAAAGTGTTCCAACAATAACCTTGCTGAAACTGTGTTAAATCTGTTTATGGAAGCTGTTGAAACATTTTCTTTACCCTCAAGAATCAGATGGGATAAAGGTTCCGAGAATGTTGAGGTTGCCAGGTATATGGAGCAAACCAGAGGAAGAAATCGTGGCAGCTTTATTGCAGGAAGGTCCATACACAATTCTCGAATAGAGAGATTATGGAGAGATGTGTTTTACTCTGTAATTCAAACATATTACTCTTTGTTTTATTATCTTGAAAGCATAAGTGAACTAGATATGGAAAATCACATAGATATGCTTTGTCTTCACTATATATTCATTCCAAGAATTAATGTGGCATTGACAGAGTTCAAAAATGCATACAACTGCCATAGCATGCGGACTGAGCACCACTGGAGTCCATATAAAATGTGGATCAATGGAATGATCAACCGTAATCGGCAAAACTCTGTTGGTAATTGTGTTTTTGAGTTGAATGAAGACATTCCTATATCAGATATCGAGACCTTTGGAATAGACCCCCAAGAAGCACCAGACCATGAATCATATGACGAGGAACTGCATGATAATCAAGAAACATTTCAAATGCCTGGTTTGCCAACACAATTGGATTTGATCTTTGAAAGGCTAACATCATCAGTAAACCCTCTAGATTTAAGTGAAAATCTTGGGATAGACTTATTCAGAGCAGCAAAGCAAAATTTATACTCTCTTTTAAACCAAGATGAATTGTAAAAATTGATTACTATCTCATTAATATGTTTGAATATTCTGACCGTGGATTACACTTGCTTGTCAAGCTTACACTTTTAGAAATAAAACTTTGAACACAACTTTAGCTCCCTTGCTAATATATTCTAGTTTGCTTTGTCCATTCTGATGGGATTTGCACCCATATAAAAACTTGGCCAATTGCAATTTCAATCATCCTATCAGGATGTTCAGTTTTACTTTTAAAATACACCACCTTTTAAGGGATTACCAATTGTCCTGGTACTAGTTTATACAGATATAAATATGTACCTAAGAGTACACAATCTATTGCTGGTACTAAAATCATTTACCCAAATATACATGTTCAGGTCAACTGCACCTTGCAGCATTTTGCATATTTCTGTAGAAAAAGTTGACATCTTGCTTCATAGTAAATGCATGATGAAAACCTACTTCAGTTATAAAGATACAAGCTTAGATGAAAATAAGGTTACTCTAAGCTCCTCCAAAATATTGTAGAGAAGCATAAAATTGTCAAGTGAACAAGTTTTAAATGCCTTTAATGTACTAAAAGTCTTCATAAACTGTACAAGAATGTCACAAAAATAACTAGAAAAACTTCCATAGGACATGAATGCCTCATCCAAAGAACATTTCTTAGTATTGCAACAGTGCATAAAAAAATGTACCTTTCTTTTTTAGTCCGAGATTGATTCATCCCATATAACAGCTGCATTAAGTCTCACTGTTTCAAGTTAATTATGTCATTTAGCAAATTTATACATATTTAAGTATGTATGGTAAAAACTCTCGGAGATGTATTGATGTATGGAGTCTTCTCAAGAACTTAATAACCTTTAATACTAAAGAACAAAATGAGGGTAATCTTTATTTTTTATAAACTATATATATTGGGTTTAAGTTTTGTGTTCTTGCATTTTATTGGTTTGTCAAATTCCCTCTAAATACGAGGGGTTATCAAAAAGTTCGTGGACTAGCGTCATAAAATTAAAACCGCTTTAGGTACATCAATGAATTTTTACACATTTAGTTAGCATCATCTTTTCTATCTATAGAATAAACCATAAATCATAATTTTTATTTTTTAATAAATTGTTAGTGTTTTTGTAAGCAAAGGTATGTCCAGGCGGCGCAACCTCTAATATGACGTTTTTTTCTACCTGAGTATAACTGAGAAAAACTCTTTAGATATGAGTATTTGTCATCCAAAAATCTCGTTAATTCAGGCATGTGGTACGACACATTTGTTCAGTAAAATTTGCAATTTTTACCCCATTCTGTAATTTCTATGAAATTTTATCGTAAATTTTATATGGAGTGTCCAAACAATTATGGGCTTGAAAATAACGTCAAAAAGGGGTAGGGGTTTCTTTTTCAAACACTCTATAGAGTTTCGCTCCTGGAAAAACTGGTATTGACCTAAGGAATGTTTAAACTGGCTACAGAAAAATAAAATGCATCCAGAGTACTTGTTTTTAATGCCCAAAAAGATTCAGAGAGATGACATATGCACAGTTAGTGTCGATTTGTAGTCAGGGTTTCAAAAGTCAGTCACGTCGAAAAGTGACATTGATCATGTGTGGTAGAAATTGAACTCCAACAAGCTAAGTATTCTGGCATAATCAGGTGAGGATCTTTCCCCATATAAAGATCCATTTACAATATTATATGCATTGAAAACAGCTGCTCAAGACATTGTAAATTCATATAAATAAGACGGGTTTAAGTCCTTACTTAACTCCAGGTAATCTCATCAAGATAATTGTATGAGGTAGAGAGAGCGGACATTAAGAAACAATGACGTTAAGCGGACGTCATGACACTAAACGGCGACAGCGCCGGGTGATCACATAAAGTCTTTTTAATTTTAGAATAATTTGGCAAATTATCACCGTATCAAGCTAAAATTTTCAACATTTCTTAAACTTTTGTTGTTTTATGTTCCGCTTAAATTTTGTAAGCAAAGACTACATATTATTAATTTTATCGCGTCAGTCCACGAACTTTTTGATAACCCCTCGTATTCTAGGTTATTCTGGTCACTCTTTGTCAAGATATTTTGCACTCTGCACTTATATGCGGGAGCTTGCCTATTCCCTGAGAATGGTATGTTATTGTTTTTATGATCTATTGTTTATTTACAAAAAGTATGTAATGTCTATGAAGATATTATAAGCTTAAATAGTAATATATATATATATATATATATATATATATATATATATATATATATATATATATATATATATATATATATATATATATATATATTTATGTTGTTAAGTATTTTAATTGTATGCACAAAATATAATTCAAAGGTGGTATTGGATTACGTATAATGAATGTAAGAGTTATCTCCCTTTATGCAGTATCGTGTATAACATTGGATTGTGCACTTTAATGATTTTATGATATTCTCAATATTGATGTTATATATTTCAGGGCAATATTATTTAACTATACAATAAACAGAAAGAACCCTAACTGGTGTTTTAATTCATTCAACATCAAATGCAGAAACCCTGTTACACTGCCACCAATATGCATCAGTGCATGAGTTTTGACGAAAATATGAGTTTTTTCCTAATCTCTATAAAACCAGAATTAATATGAAGTCAAGGTCATAGGGAAGGTCAAGGTCAGAAAATTAAGTCACAGTTAGATTGTATCAGTATGAATTCTGATAAAAATATCTTAGTTATTTTACCTAAACACAAAATAATGAATAGTAAGGTCAAGGTCAGAAAATTTCCACAGTTCAATAATTTTCATCTATATGCATCAGTGTACGGATTGTCAAAGTATCTTAAAGAGTTTCATTGGAACTTGAGCTAAATGCAAAGGGTGACAAAGATGCAGATGAAAGATGGACACTACAAACACTATATACCCCAGCCATATTCAAGGTGGGACAAAAAAAATTATGTGCCACTGATGTTCATCAATTTGGAACAAATTAATCTCTATGCAAATTAAAATCTAGAAGCTTAGAAAAAATATCTATATCAAGTTCTATGCTTCAAATTGACTTTGCAAGTGAAATGAAAAAACACTACAATGTATTAAGCATAGTTGTAAACCATGTAGTTGATATTGTAATATAATGCCAAACAATTGACATGTCTATTATACAATGCTTCTTAAAATAGGGTAAACATATCAAACGCAGATGATCATTCAAAATATCACAATTTTTTGTTTCTGTAAAAATACAAGTACAAATGAACTTCTTTTATGTTTATATTTATCTAAATAATTGTGTTCATGCTAACAACAAATTACAGCATACTGGTATTTTCTATCTGTATAAGAAAAAATGATTGGAGGGCATTCACATAGAAGACATTTTCTACAAAGCTTAAATTATGTAACAAAGACTTCTTTAAAAAAAAAAAAAAACAACAGTAACTTCATTGAAATAAGTGACAATTTGAGCAAAGGTGCATTTCAAAACATTTTTTTTTCCCAAATGCTCCATTGAAAAGATGAACACTAACAATAAAAAAAATGTTTGCATCTGTAAGTTGGACTTGGTAATTTAAGAAAGTTGTTCAAATTAAAAACATTGTTGCAAGTATAACATTCTGCAGTTTGTTCTCAATACAAATTTAAAATTGCTGTATGTGCTACCTTTGTTGAAACTGCTAATTTTTAATTTTGGTATGTAAAAGTTATTCTGCTGATGCTAACAGAACAGCTTATGTGTACATTCACTTCATTGTATAAATTTACAAGGCCTATCTTCCATGTGTATAACTATTCCTGGACTGTAGTGTATAATGTGCATCCAAGACTTTCTGAACATTTATATTTTCTCAAATCCCATTGACTCTTTCAACGACATTAACATCATGTCTCTAAATGTGTTTGGATCACTAACACCTCGTGGTAAGTAAAATTCTAAGGAACAGGTAGAGGCATGTGGTAATCTTTTCACACCGATCTCACTAGCATAGAATATAATATCTATGCATTTTGGGAACCCAGTGGGTGGGACCTGATCCGCTCCTGTGATGAAAGAGAGGAGTTCTTCCAGTGTGGCTTGAATATTTCCATCTACAAAAGATTGCAGGGTAAAATGAATGTGTGTACAAAGACAACCACACTCTTAATTCACTTAAAATGATATCCTAATGATATCTCATGAAATACATCTCCAAAAAGTTGAAAAGTTCAAGTTGAACAAGATGTGTTTGTGAAACACTGATGCCCCCGTATGGCAGCTTATGGCGAAGGTTAAAGTAAAGTTTCTCAAAAGCAAGTCAAAATCCAGGCCAAAAGATGAAAAATGTTGGTGCCCAAAGAAAGGTCTTGTCTCGAGGAATATACCTGTGAAATATGAAAGCCCTAGCTGCAACTGCTCAAAAGTTATGGCAAAGGTTAAAGCTTTTTAAAAGTAAGTAAAACGTCATAGTAAAGGTCAAAGTTGTTGGTGTCCTAAGGAAGGTCTTGTCACAAGGATTACATATGTGAAGTATGAAAGCCCTAACACACCATTCCAAAGTTATGGCCAAGGTTAAAGTTTTTCAAAAGTAGGTCAAACTCCAATGTCAAGGTCAAAGGGTCAAAGTGGTTGGTATCCAAAGGAAAGAGATGTCACAAGAATTACATATGTGAAGTTTGAAAGCCCTAGCACCAACTATGCAAAAGTTAAGGCCAAGGTTACAGTTTTTCAAAAGAAAGTCAAACTCCTAGGTTAAGGTCAAAAGGTCAAAGTGGTTGGTGTCCAAAGGAAGGACTTGTCACAAGGATTACATATGTGAAGTATGAAAGCCCTAGCTCCAACCGTTCAAAGCTATGGCCAAGGTTAAAGTTTTTCAAAAGTAGGTCAAACTCCTAGGTCAAGGTCAAAGAGGTTAATATCCAGAGGAAGGTCTTGTCATAAGGAATACACATGTGAAGTTTGAAACCCCAAGCACCAACTGTTCAAAAGTTATGGCCAAGGTTAAAGTCTCATAAAATTTTGTTAAAGTGGGTCAAACTCCAAGGTCAAGGTCAAAAGGTCAAATATGAAGGTCTTGTCACAAGGAATACACATGTGAAATATGAAAGTCATAGCTCCAACCAATCAAAAGTTATGGGCAAGGTTAAAGTTGACAACAGACAGACAGACAAACAGACTGACAGGACAAAAACAATATACCCCCAGGATATTTCGATCCGGAGGCATAAAAAGTTTCTCACCACTAACATCCTGCAAGAATAACTCCCAGGAATATACTGTGTCTTCCTCTTGTGATCTTTTGTTTGATCCCTCGTCAGAAAAATTTATCTTGAGGAGGGACTCAAATTTTTCCTTGGTTAACGGTAAACATTGGTGACAAAACAGAGATCTAAACTGTGTAGAGTTTGCTGCAACTAGCTTCCAAAATCCTGCTACATCATCCATTCCTGTTTTACATTGGTTTATTGCAGCTGAAGTTCTAAAATACATTTCGATTTATCAGTAAAGCAGGAATAATGGTGCTTGTGCACATGTATTTTTGAGATAATCCCCTTGAGAACATATTTGGCCATATTTCAAAATAGACCCAGGGACCATTGAACATATCATTTACAAGGAACCAGAAATTATGTGGTTTGAATGGGATCTCATTAGTTTACTAAATATTTGATCACTTCTGAAAGGACAAGACCAGGAATGGAGTTATTTTTATCTGCAATTTTATCACCTACAATGCCTTTCTACTCCTAAATGGGAACTAATGCACCAAGTTTGACTTTTATCAAGAAAAGGTTTCTGAAAATATTTTATTAAGGGTCAAGATCTTCCCATGTCCAAGTTGACCTTAACTTTTGACCTGGTGACCCTAAACCAATGGAAGTCATTATAACCATGCACCAAGTTCACCCAGGAACAGAGAAGAAGGGGAAGGGAGGGGGGCATAATTTGAATAAACTTGAATGTATACTATATACTACCTGAGGATGCTCCATATAAACATGACAAATCATGACTTTGCTGTTCTTGAAAAGATTTTTAAATTTTTATATTCTTTTTAAATTTTATATTCTTAATTTTTGATTGCCCCATCCTACCCCAGGGATCATGATTTGAATAAATTTGAATCTACACTATAAAAAGGCTTTCACATGTTTCGTCTTTTCTGGACCAGTGTTATTGAGAAGAAGATTTTATAAAGATGCCATTAAATTTTCACTAATTATTATTAATTATCTCTCCTTGAAAGAAAACATTGCCCTTCATTGAACAAACTAAAATCTACTTCACCCAGGAATGCTCTGTGGCAAGTTTGGTTGAAATTGGCTAAGTGGTTCTTGAGAAGAGGTGAAAAACTAAAAGTTTACAGAAAGACAGATGGACATTCAGGACATTCTGACATTGGACACTCTCCAATCAGAAAAGCTCACTTGAGCAAGGCTATGTTGAGCTAATAATCAATTCCCTGCATTATATTTAAACTATAAAATAAAAAATGAGTTCTGTTTTCAAAAAGAAAATTAGCTTTATGTAGTAGTGGATCAAAAAATTAAAAGTTCAGCAAATTATCTATTAATACATGTACAAAAAATAAAATTGGGGGAAAGAAAATACTTTTTCTGTTCAAATTCCACCATGCTAGCTTGGATGGCCCTCTCCAATTCTTCATCTTCACTATCCACAATGTCTATGTAATCCTGAGAACTGAAAAAGTATGATGTCATGTACTTATCGTATTTTTCAATTTTTTCTCAAAAATATTAAATATTCCAGCAAGCATTTTTACATTAATAATTTAGTACATGTACATACATGCATATATAGCTCCTTGACAGTTTAAATACTGGATTTACAATAAGAAATTGGATACAGATAGTTGCACGTGTTTTCTATTCCTTATTTAGGTCACCAATGTCGTGCAACTGTAAAGCCAACTATTGTGCCCCTGTGTGCATTCATTATAAATCAACTCAGTTACTTACCTAGCATAATGAGATGAGGGATTTGAGGGTCTGTGCTATAAATAAATTTGACAAAACATTTTATTAAAAATAAAATATTAAACAGTATATTATTTAAATAAGAAGAGTTACAGCACTCAAATTGCAACATTCCTTGGCATAAACAATGTGAATATACAACTAGATGTGTCATGGCAACCAAAATGCACTCCTCACAGACAGAGTATAACTCTATGATTCAGAGGAACAATGAAACTACTTGAAACCCTTTTACATATTGTAAATCAAGGATGCTCTTACAGAAATGACAATCATAAACTGCCCCACGAGTATTTTAATTGGCTCTTTGATGTTTCAGGCTCCTAAAATGCTTTCAATTTAATATAGAATGAGGCCCATGGTCCACGACACTCACCTGAGTCACCTTGGCCATGTTATCAGAAGACTTATGAAATTATTTTCCAATCAGAAGTAAATCCTACACCCTAAGATTATGATTTGAACAAACTTTAAAGAATCTACTTTTTATCAGGAATCTTTCATACAAGTTTCTTCTTTTCTTGCCCAGTGGTTTATGAGAAGAAAATTTTAAACATTTTTCCTACATATTTCTACATAACTTGGTTGTCTATTGTGGCCCACCCAAAGGTTCTGTGACAAGTTTGGATAAATTTGACCCAGTAGTACTTGAGCAGTAGAGAATACAAAAGGTTAACAGACAGACTACAGACGACAGCTGATCAGAAAAAGTCACTTGAACCTAGGGATCAGGTGAGCTAAAAACAGTTGCAGTTGATAACCTTGAGCGAGAGACTTCTGCAACGGAACTGCACAGTTGGTCTGCAAATGTAGCTCCTACCTGTTAAAGAAGAGAATGAATGTCAAATATTTATATTTAAAAGCATATTGGTCATGATAAACCTTAAAATATCAAGTGTAGTTTGAAAGTTAGCTTTTATTATTATATTATGGTGCATTATTATACTAAATATAAGTAAAACTGTTTTGTGTGATGTTACTATAATATAACTCTTGCAGAGATAGTGAGCTGTGTCCTCCAATGGAATCAATGATTGTGTCCTACTCATACTCCTTAAATTAAAACAAAATTAAAAATCTACACAGTACATATTTATATATATATATACATATACATGTATAAGGTCAAGAAATACATGTCATTAGACACTAAAATAAAATACAAAGATTTCACTACAGGATTTGAAAGTTAATACTTTTGTACCTTTATCTGATGATGATTGGAACCAACAAGTGAAAAACAGGGGTGGAACTGACATAATTAGTTAAGTAGACACTTAGAGGGGTAATATAGAAATATATGGTTCTTGAAAAAAAAAAGGACCCCATATATTTCTGTATTACCCCTCTAAGTGTCTACTTAACGAATTTCAAGATTTTTCAAAGATTTTTTAATAAAGTTCATTTTCTCTGAGTTAAGCAAACTGTTCCGTAACAATTGTTTACATTGTGACGTCGTTTAAGGAGGTTCGATCCTGCAATCAAAAGTAATGAGAATTTTTTATCAAGTATATTTTTAGAATTTATACACATAGCTTAGTTAAAGATCAAAACCAAAAAAGGGGGTAAATGCACTTCTTTTGGTGCTACAGAGCATTTAGTTTGACCTTTTTGCACTGTAAATATGTCTTTCACATAAATCAATTTTTAAAAGTTTTCCTCCAATATTTTTTTAATTCAAATAGATTATGGTAACAAACACAATCTTATTTCATCTTGAATAGACACATTAAAATTTGTGACAACGAAAAAAATTTCAAATTACTCCGCATGTTCAATTATTTGACCTTTTTGCACTCAAAAAATTTCATTTTTTGCCATTAAAAATTTAATACAAGCAAAAATATCATTTGAAAGTAATGACATTTTACTGAATTTAAGAAGAATGTTTAAAAGTATCTTATATATTCAGAAAATAAAATAAAAAGTGGGGGTCTGTGATGTTAATTTTTAGGTATAACTAAAATAATGCTAATTTTAAGCTTAAAATAGGGATATTTTTTTCTTGATTTTCACAATATATTTGCTATATTTATCAAATATGATGATAGAATTCATGACAGTTTATTTATTATATAATTTAAGACCAGTATAAAACAGTTCACTGCACAAAATAACTCTGTGTGCAGACTGCATGTAAAAATAGGAACCCAAAGTTCACATCCTTTAAATACTTCGAAAGATAAAAAAATGATCATTTTCTTCTAAAAAAACCTTCCGCCACAAAATATAGTTCCTCACTTAATGCTTTTGGTATGGAATTTACTCCTGGAGTTTTAACTGAATATAGTTTAATTGGCATTGTAGAATCCAAAATTATTGTAAGAATTAAAACTTTAAGCAGAATTTTTGAAATATAGGTTAAGATATAAATCTGCTCAAAAGCTCAGGAGTGAACCTCGTTAATGCTTATGTGATGTCCGTTATTAGGCTCCTTGTGTTCAAATGAGGATGCTTCCGTATAAATGTGACCAATCAGGGCTTAGCTGTTCCTGAGAAGAAGATTTTTTAAGATTTTTCCTATATATCTCTATGTAAAACTTTGATCGTCCATTGTGGCCCCACCCTACCCCTGGGGGTCATGATTTTAACAAACTTGAGTCTACACTACCTGATGATGTTTCCATATAGGTTTCATCTTACCTGGTCCAGTGGTTCTTCAGGAGAAGATTTTTAAAAGATACCATTAATTTTTCACTAATTCTTAATTATCTCCCCTTGGAAGAAGGCGTGGCCCTTCATTTGAACAAACTTGAATCATCTTTACCCAAGGATAGTTTGTGGCAAGTTTGGTGGAAATTAGCCCCGTGGTTCTTGAGAAGAAGTTGAAAGAGTGAAAAGTTTATGCACAACGCACGCCCGCACGCCGACGGACGAAAACAGTGCATACTATAGTGTTTAGTCTTACCTTGTCAGTGGACATTCCAGCTGCCTTGGAATCACAATCTTGAGATGGACAGCTCTTTTGTTCCTAAAGATGATAGACTATTTTTTTAAACACAGTTGACAGTGTATCAATTGTGACTGAACATGTATATTGCATTTGTTGTTTTAATTAAATACTCTATGGTTCCCTACCTAGTAACAGATCAATAAAAATTACAAATCTTCAGTATCATCTTCTACATGAACTAATATGAACATATAATATTCCATCTAACATGTTCCAACCTTCAATAAAGGTATACAGATACTCTTGCATTATTCTGGTTGGTCGTGAAACACATAAAAACTTATCCAGCATTTTTATGTGCAGGTTTGACACAGATTCTTTGGATCATTCATTAAATACTCAAGTAACAGTTAATTATCTCCTAAAAAAAATGATATCATATTTTTTCATATACCGGGTATTTCATAATACTGAAACAGGACAGTTACTATACTACCTATTGCCATAAATTTAATTTTACCATACTTACAGAATCTTCTTGCTTTTCATCCAAATCATGCATACTGGTATCCTATACATATGATAGGACTATTTTAATATGTCACATTTATGATTAATACAAGTAAATCTGAAGTAGCACAATAAATTAATCTTTTTTAAATAGAAGACTTGCATAAATTTCTTCAATCAACATATTTTGCATATATATTGTACTCCACTGATAAGAGACCAACTCCTACATGTCCTACAGATATGCATTCCATATTTTACCACCTAAGCTCTCTCTCTCTCTCTCTCTCTCTTACACATTAAACCTAGAAGGTGTCGTGATTGAAGTGCAACACTTCAAAACATTCACATTGTATACATTTACAACATTCCATTTACCATGTTATGGATTTAAAGCATGCTCTGGATGCAGTGTGTATATATATATATATATATATATATATATATATATATATATATATATATATATATATATATATATATATATATATATATATATATATATATATATATATATATCAGGCAATAGCTATTCACACAATGGTCATGTAAATAGACTTTTCCTTTGTGCACAATGGTCATGTATATATCATCGGCCATCTTTAGCAGTTTAGAAAGAATTCAGCACAATTGCAATGAAAGTTGTTAAAGTTCTGGGGCTATATACAACAGTTAATTTGTGACCAAACAGTTACTTGTTGAATGAAATAACAAAGAAGACCAGTTCTAGTTAACATGATAATTGTTTGTTATAATTCAGCACCATGTGAAGTAATCATTACTTGTCCATGTCTCACCACACACAAAGTGGTGTACTGTTAATCGAACAATGGATATATGTTTTTTTACTTAAAAGTGATCAAAAAGCAACAATGTTCAAACTATCTTTGTCTTGGATTGCTTTTTTAAAACTCCCTAGTAAAAATATTTATAGTCATATACTTGCTATTTTTTGTCTATTTTACATAGAAAGCAAAATTGTGAAAAGTTGCATTGAAATAGCTAAATAAAACTACCTCAAGTAGCTAAATAAAGCTACGGTAGGTAATTCATGCTACGTAGCTGATTGCACCAGATCTGATATAACGTTACACTTAGCCCTCTTTTTAAAGAAAACACATTATCATGATTATCATTGGGAAATTTTAAATTGATTCTCGTAAACGGTATTTTTTTTATAACTGTAAAAAAGAATGATTCCCCTTTAGCGAGATACTTCAGTTTTCTATTTTTTTTAATGCCCTGCTAAAAATGTCATGTGCTGACCACGCACTCACCAGCTCACTTAATGACTTATCTCCCGGTATAGAAAAAAATGATTCGATTTCCAGGCAACAACGGTTAGGCATAAGTCTCTATCTATTTTATAACTGTGCCATTATCGTTTCTCAAATTTCTGTTCACTTACAGTGTCTTATTTCGTACTTCTTTAGTTCTTATGAAGCTTGATTCCCTCGTGGCTATGTTTCAACTACTAAACTAGTCCCCTATTCATCCGGAACATCTCGCGCGTTTTCAAGATGGTATGGGTTAAAATTGACCAATGAAATCCTTCGTAACGAAACAAATAAACAATCTCTTGAATACAAAATTATACAATACAAATGGAAAATATAGAATACAAATGAAAAATTATACAATACAAATGAATTTTTTTTTACAATATAAATAAAAAAATTTACAATGCAAATGAAAAATTGTACAATACAAATGGAAAATATAGAATACAAATAAAAAATTACACAGTACAAATGGAAAATATAGAATACAAATGAAAAATTATACAATACAAATGATTTTTTTACAATATAAATGATAAATTTTACAATGCAAATGAAAAATTATACAATACAAATGGAAAATATAGAATACAAATGAAAAATTATACAATACAAATGGAAAATATACAATACAAATGGAGAAATATACAATACAAATGGAGAAATATACAATACAAATGGAAAATTATACAATACAAATAGAAAAGATGGAATATTGCAACGTTTGACATGCCATACAAGATCTGTTATTAACATTGCTACGAATCAAATAAAACAAGTTAAAATTCTTTTAAAATAATGTATCATGGGGAAAAATGCAAAAGACTATGAATTTATCAATTCATCTAATTTTTTTTCTCTTTTATCTAGATTAAAATTAATTTTTTAAACAAAACAAAACAAATGAAATATATCATGTGATCTAAGACCATGTGGTTTACACAAAATATTTTTCACATCTTTAAATTATCATTTAAAGGATTATCATACTTCAAATTTAAAATCAAATTCATTTAAGAAATAAACAACAATGTTAAAAAGTTCTCTGGGAAATGAACTTGGTTGGTCACGTGATCAAATCCTGTGAAGCCCGAAGGGCTTCTCAGAAGATTTGATCACGTACCAACCAAGTTCATTTCCCAGTGAACTTTTTAGCATTGTTGTTTATTACTTTTATTTACATTTGAGACGAATATTCTGAAAAGATTGTTGGGGTCTGCATTTATTACACGAACGGCCCGCCGTATTGCTATGTTGTGACGCGCAATGACCTCGAAGCTGTTTGGTCTTGAGAGTTCGCCTCGCTCCAACATTTGAATACTTACATATTGATGTTCAGCAATCCAGTTCAGGAAATATCTGTTCATAATGAAAAATCCATGATCGCTACTGAGAATAATCTTACTATTAGTGTATGAGTTCTTAATATATGAAGTCAAAAGCAGTGGTATCGTCTTCAGTTTACATACCTTCAAAGGAATTTCGGGTTAAAAAGGTAAGCGTGATTTTAGGCTAATTAAAAACATTCCTCATACCGAAGAAAGAACTAAATGATCATTTGTTGAACGAAGAAAAACATATATGTTTCAATTATTTTATCTTTTTCATCGCTTCAACGGCTTAGAAGTTCCGAAACCAGTGTCACCGTAACAGAAATATGTAGACAAGATATCATCTCGCTGTGTGATTCGGTCACGCCATGACCTCTGACCCCCTAATAAGTTCATACAGAATTGAACATATTTTCTCTTCAATAGGTTCATCTAAGAAAAATATTTGCAAATGTAAATAAATGAAAGTAAGCACTGATCTTTATGACCCTGTCAAGTGGGTGTGTTCCCGTTTTGCACCCATTTGATAATTAGGTATAGAACAATAGGTGTGAAATATGTTTTGATAGCAAATATAGTCTGATCTCCATCTATGATTTACCTGGAATTACCTGTATTTTAACAATGCATTATAAGATATATTTAAAAGAATAAATTTTGAAAATTTAACTTGTCCAACGCAACTGAAGATGAAGTTGATAATTTAGATAAATATCCTTCTTGCAGTTCACCCCCTTATATTATTATTATTTAATTTTGTAATTGTTTTATTATTACATAAAGAGAGAATGAATTAGTAAATGAATTCAGTCTTAATTAATCTTTTAAAAAATTTACTTAAAAACTTCAAAAGATTTCTTTTTTATAAAATAACAGAAATAAATAAAAATATCAGATGCAAAATGAATATTTTTTCTTCCTATTTCTCCAAATTCACAACTATGAGATAGACTATAGCAAGTAAGTAATTATCTTACCTGGACAAATTCCCGTTTTGCACACATTTTTTCAATACCTGAAATCAAATGTGTGCAAAACGGGAACAGTGATTGACCTTTTAAACTTATACCTGACATTATAACTGACCTTTTGACCTCTACTGACCTAATCCCTTTAAAGATGTTGTTGAACTCGAGGGCCTCCATACACCCTCAGGACTTTGGGGTACTTCTTACCCCCTCCTCACCGCGTTGGTGGAAGAACAAGCCATAGTATACAAATCCCGAGTCACTCTGAAGAGTTCTGGAACATGATTATCTGGGAATGCTACAAAAAAAGGTACGGAATTAGTCCATTAAAGAAATCTTTTCAAAATGTCCCCAACTCTAAAATCATGTATTTTCATTGGATCAAAATTTCAAGGTTTGAGAAAAAATATTGATTTTAATGGGATTTGTTTTCATGGTTTTAGAGGTGTTGCTTTGTTATTTATTTCAAATTTTGCTTTTCGTAGAGGACATAAAATCCTTGGTATCGTCATACAATGAAAACAACAAAACCTGAACCCAAGAAAATTTTAAAATTATTAATTTATTTAAAAATGGCATATATTTAGTTTAAGATTTTCAAAATTGTATACACATATTTAAACACTTTAACAATGGCTAAATTTACTCCACAACAACAAAGGTTAGATATGATGTGGTGTTTCAACGTAAAAAGTAAGTCATTTCAAGATTTCTACAATTACATGTATAAATTAATCTAGACACACACCTATAAAATCGAGAGGATTTTATTTCTGAGTTCAGCATTTACATATCAAACAGTTTTTGAGAAGTCTTGACTTTGTGTTGTACTTACCTATTGGAGGCATTATAATCCCCCACGTCCTTGTTCGGATCGGGCCGTTGTCATGGAGAATCCTATACACAGCACAGGAAGTATCTCACTGACAGAGCTGTACACGCTCACAAACGACAGACAATCCTGACAGAATTATAAAACAAAAATGATTCAGTGTTACAGACATAAAAGATTTCTTACTCAGGACTCGGTGTGGGTCTGCCCTGTTCAATGTTGAGTAATTTTACCGACTTAACATGTTGAAAGACACAGAGTGGGAATAGCCTAGAGTGGTCAGTTGGACTGGTTCTGAGGATCTGGTATAGGACACTGCATACCTAGATATAGAAAAGAACTAAACATTTCTAAGAGAGGCTCAGTGACCCTTTCTTAAGAATTTAAGTGAGTTCATTTTTAATGTAAGTAATGATAATCATTTATTTTAAAAATTGTCAAGTTTAATAAGAGGTTATTTTTGTCAGATATGCACAACAAGGCATGATGAAATTTTAACACATTCCAATTCCAAGGAACAGTCAATACCTATGTTTAGGTCTTAGGTTAGACGTGGCGCAGCGAAAGAGAATCAAACTCGATCCTCCCGATCACAAAGCGACCGCCCTACCACTAGGCTACTGTAACAGGGTTTTCTTAGTGAAGACAAA